ATTCGCGGTCGCGCACGTGCGGAGGCGTAGACTAAAGGAGGTGAGCAGGGGTTCCTGAGCGAGAGCTTCCTGTAGGACGAAAAGTACCGGCAGGGGTGGCGTGGTTGATGGTGCTCGTCACGACGAGACCGGTCTTGAGGCCAGCAAGCTTGGCAGCCTCGAGGATGGAGCCAACGGGCTGAAAATCAGGAGTGATGCCGATGGCATTGTTGTATGACTTGAAGCCACAGGCAAAGGCGGTACCGGAAGCAGCAGAGTCGGTGATGAGGTTGTTGCTGGCGTGGGTACGGACCAGACCGCGGACCATCTGGTCGGCCTGCAGCTCAAAGATACTGGGGGCACGCGGCGTCGTGCCAGTCTCGATGAGGGAGACATAGTCTCGTGCCATGGTCTGCGAGGCCTGGCCGTAGCCATCGGGCACAATATAGATGACGTTCTTGGCCGTGGTGGCGGCGAGGACGGCCGGGGCCAGGGCCCCAGCAACGACGGCAGCGCTGCGCATGTTGAGACGAGCGGTCTTAGCTCGGGAGGGGGACAGGCAAGAGGCTGAAGGGTGGCGAGCGAGTGGTGAAGAGGCAGGCCATCCAGGTGGTATGCGACAGATGAACTATTTAACCTGGGTTCTCCTCCGAAGACCGAGGGGTATCGATGCGAAGGGAAGTCGACTGCCTCCGCCGTTTCTGTCTTGCCACCTCTTGACTGCCCAACCCCCTGGTCACCATTGCGAACGGGCAGCGTCTTGGACCTCATTTCAACCGCATCAATGGTGGTTTTCGGCGTCACATTATTGCCCTTGGTGCTGGTTTTGGAGGGCGCCGAGCCTCTCCGGTTAGCACGGGCAGCACTCGACTGGCGTTCATGGCCTCATGTCGGTCAATACTGGGACGTGGGGAGGGGAACTTGGAGAGAAAACCCCGCTTGATAGAGGCGGCCAGCAGGTGAGCAGACGGATGAACGATGGCGAGCATGGGGGACAAAAGCACCGCGGAGGAGATGGTGGAAGGCTGAGGTCGAATAGTTTGGTCACGTCGTGGGTGGTATCGAGGCAGGATGAGGCGTGGTGGTCCTGTATGCCAAGCCTTGTAGGTCCAAGCACTTGCATTGCATATGCTGGTACCACCCCTGGAGCCCAATCGGCGCCGGTGGTTGCGCAACGTGGTTCGGCGGCGGAGATTGGAAGCCTTCGGAGAATGTTGCAACGGCAACGACAGGGAGAAGATGCTCGATCTGATGTGTCTTGGCTTCGAGATGTGGTCTATATCGGAAGGTAGTACCGTTGCGAGAGCGAACTGCCTGGGATGGAATGGCTCGAGACACGTGTGAGTTCCGGTGCCTTGCAGTGGGTGACCCGGGGGACTGGGTTGCAGACGAAGGATTCAATGGATAGCGAGAGTGGGTTGGAGATGGGGATGGGATGGTGTGTCTCTTGGATGCCTGGAGGTCGGCATGTTGGGAAGTGGGAAAGAAGGTAGGAGAGTGAGGAAGGCGATGAGGGTACGTTGGGTGTACCTGCCGTTGAGGGTGTGAGGGAGTGAGTGGCAGAGGAGTGGCAGAAAGCAAGTGCTGTCGTGGGAAGTACCTCTGCATCGAGCATAAGGAGAGTACCTTCAAAGCATATAGTTTTCATCTTCTTCTGGAGGTTCAACAGGTTTGTATCTTAAGTAACTGTCTACGATGGCTGGTCAATGAATTGGCGTCCGGCAATCGTGTGCAAACTTGTGCAATACTAGTCACAACCTGTCACAGCCTCCCGAAACCTGAAGCTCTCGGTGGAGGATCTGAGAGCGATGTGGCTTGAACTTGGTGTTCAACGGAATAAAGATACTTGTGAGGAGGGCGCTACTATCATATCCAAACACCTATTATCATTACAAGTAGGGCTCGCTGAATAACAAGTTGCACTGCAAAAGACACCACTGGCCTCCGTCGGCCGGGGCCTGTGCCAGGTGCCATTGGCGCCGCCTCAGTGATTGGCTGTCAGGTGTTCGCCGGCACGAGCCACTGCCATTTATAGCCAATGACGGCCCTGGCGCGCGTCTGCTTCGACCCAGACTGGAAACGACCAGGCCCGCCGCCCCACTGCCGTGCCTTCCACCTCAAGCACCTGTGGCAGGCACCCTGCCTTGACCTGTAGCAGGCACCCCGCCTTCTGCCGTGGCAGGCACCCCGCCTCCTGCCGTGGCAGGCACCTCCACCTGTGGCAGCATCTTGCCTTTACCTGTGGCATCATCTGCCAAACCACCAAACCACCAAACCACCACCACCCAGCGCTTAACTTGTCGCAGGTACGGCTGCTTGCAGGGCCACCCGCCATGGGGCATCATCGTCTGGATCGGCCATGTATTGGGCATCATGTACCGGAGCTAGGGTCCCCTCGCCGGGTCTCATCTTAAATCTCCCGACCCAGAGACAATGCTCGCCGTCGTCTGTCCTGCTTCGCCTCGCCCTATCCGCTTGGCTCCCAGCAATGCGTCGAGCTCTCCGGGCCATTCACGCGACCTTCTCGCGCATGGAGTCATACATAGCTCGACCCCTTCCCCAGGGGGGTCATGCTCACTCATGGCTTTGGACGGTCTGGACTCTTTGGCTCTCGAAACATCATACCTCGACTCTCTCTCTCTGTGTCTCTCTCTCTCTCTCTCTCTCTCTCTCTCTCTCTCTCTCTCTCTCTCTCTCTCTCGCTCTCTTTCTTTCTCTGCTTGTGTTTCCTCGTTCTCCATCTGTCACTTTCCTTGTCTTTCGAATTCTTGTTGAATCAGCCAGCAAAAATCTCACACTTCCTTCGCTTTTCCTTTGACTGTCAACCTGGCTCGTTGCTCTTCTGTCTGGCCTCACCTGCCGTTGGGCGGATTCTTTCTCTTTCACCATCTTCGTCTCGCTGCCAAAGCAAAAAGGAACACGCGGCTTTGAATCAACGCCCTCTTAATCCGACCTTCTCTTCTCGAAAACACGCTCAGTACACGAGCAACTGTCGATCTCTACAAAAACACGTCAAGTACACGAGCAACTGAATTCACCCGACGATCCTTGCGTCGCGAGAAACCCCCCCACAATGCGACGCAACATCCAGCTTTTGCTTCTTGCCTTCCTCTCTGCCTCCACGCAGGCTGGTCCCGTCAGTCGTGGCGGCAAGGAACGAAGGGACCATGCTGGCGTCACGCCGACGCCGATATTCTCAACCATAGAAGACGACCCACCCTTAGCATCCTCGGTCCCAAGCATCTCTCCTAACAAGCCTTCGTCGGCCTCGCTGGGAGAGCCTCCGGCATCGTCATTCCCTGCGGAGGAGACGACACCGTCGGCCGAGCCAAGTCCCACTCCCAGTCTCCAGACGACATCAACCATCATCACAAGCACTCTTGAAGCACCACCGAGCCCGAGCTCGGCTTCACCGCCCATCGAGGCCATCCCTGACCCAGCCTCTTCGCTTGTCCCTTCCAACTCGGAGGAGGTCCGCCTACCCTCCATGTTTAGCACCATCTCGGTGCCGGCGTCTCTGCTCGATCCGAAGCCCAGTCCAACCTCAGCTCCGCCGCCTGTCGACTCTACCACATCGACGGTCTCGTTGGCGTCGTCAGCTGTGTCTGCGCCCTCTGCATCTTCTGCGCCGTTTGCATCTTCTGCTGCGCCATCCTCATCCCCAGACAATGGCGTGTCCACGCCTTCGCCCATCTTGTCCACGATCACCGACGTCGCCTCGACTGCCGCCCCCATCCCATCCAAGTCGTCTGCCGTTGATTCCGCCTCCGAGTCGCTTCCGGTTGAAATTGGGCCTTCTTCCGTGAAGCGGTCCTCTGAGACGGTGGTCTCAGAGACACCCATTGCGTCCTCTGTCGCGCTCGGATCGACCTCAACAGAGGCACTGTCTCAACAGTCATCTACCGTTGCAGCCGAGCCTGGGACCTCTCTATCGGTCATCCCCGCCCCAGAGCCTTCCTCAACTCCCCTCAAGCCATCAGCTTCTGCCTCAGAGGCTCCAATTATTGAATCCTCCCGTGAGCCCGTTGTCGACCCTAGTTCTTCCGCAACGACCGGGTCAGTCTCGACTACGAGCGAGCCCGTCGCCGAGTCGTCTTCACTGCCTACGTCGGAAGTGGCTCAGCCGCCTGCTGATCAGTCATCGCCTTCGAGCACACCAGTCAAGCCCACGACGACGGCTGTCATCACGCCTACCGGCACCCCGGACGCTTCTGTTCCCACGAACAACGGTCCACCCCCCGACTCGACGTCCACTGTCGCTCCCGATGTCGCGAAGAGCAACCTGGAGGAAGCCAAGAAATTCCACCGCATGTTTGAATCCCTAACCAGACAGTCCTCCTGCACAGTGGGTCAGGCCGCCTGTGTCGAGGGCGGCATCGGCTTCTGCAACACCCAGGGATCCTTTGATATTCGACCCTGTACAGCCCCCCTGACGAGCTGTTTTCCGCTGCCATTGGAAAACGCTCCCGGTGTCATGGTGGACTGTTATGAAACCAGCAAGGCAAGAGAGATTCTCGGACTATCTGATGCACCTGAGGAAACCCCTGCACCTGTCGCGTCTGCTTCCTCTCGGAGGCCCCCTGCCGCCCCCCAGGAGCCGTCTGATGCCCCCCTGGAGCCTTCTGCCTCGCCCCCCGCAGCTAGCGACGGAAATGTCGTCACCGAGATCGTGACACCCACCGTCACGAAGATCATTGCCACGGAGACGGTCCCCAACCCCGGACAGGCCGTGACGCCGCCCGTCTCCGCAGCCCCCGAAGAAACGACAACTACCGTCAGAGGCACCGTTGTGTCGACAGTCTTTGTTACTGTCGATCCTCCAGCGGAGCCCGCTCCCGAGACAACCCAGCTCGTTACCGTCACAGTCACGGCGTCCCGTTCGCCGCCGCCCGCAGCGTCGCCGCCGCCGCCGCCGCCGCCGGAACCCGAGACGACTGAAAAGACAACCCTGACGACCACCATCCTCTTCACGCCGCCTCAGGAGACAAGTCCTGCTCCCACGCCATCCGCCGAGGTCCCCGCGCCCGAGCAGCCAGTGCCTTCTTCTGCGCCTGAAGAAAGCCCCTCGCCAGAACCAACGCCGTCCTCCTCGTCCTCGTCGACTTTTACGACCCTCGACATTATCTTTGTGCCCACCACTTTCCTCACCACAACGATCATGGCCAGCGGTGTCGCCATCAACCCGAGCCCGACGCCGAGTGCGACTCTCGAGGCTGTGACTACCGTCGCGGACGAGGCGCCGCCGCCTGTCACGGTGACGGAGACGCTCGTGCTCACTGTGACTGAGCGCGAGAGGATCATTGAGAGGGAGACAATCACCGTCACGGCGACGGTCGGGGGTTCAGCCTGAGGATGACAAGTGTGATGCATAATGGTCCTGGGCCACGAAAGATGTACATGAAGAGAATGCCATGATATCGAGAACATGGAAACGTAATGGAGGTGGTGTGTTGCCACGGAGCGAGGCATCTATATCTAAAAGCAAGATTACGAAACCAAGTAAGAAGAAAACATAATATATCACCCATCTCGCTGCTTTCTCATGTTTGGCTTGCGCGAGAATTGGTATTCAGATGATTGTTATCAAAGTGCTATGCAACGCGATGAATCATCTACTCCTGGGCTATGCTCTGTTTGCCACAAAATCATCCTTCCTATGCCAAAACCGCAGTGACCGGATGGAAGGATTCTTCCACACCCAGACGTCTAGGGCAGACATGTCCTTTTTGCTTCTCGCTTCTCCTCTCCTGCCGTCTTGCGCTTGCTCGTGAATAACCTGTACATGACCGAATTGGCCGGCCTCGTCCGCGCCGACGCAGCTGAATCCACACGAGATTCTCCCTCCACGGACGTCGCAGGCGTGGCCGACAAGTCGCGCGACGGCTCGGGCGTCCACACCTCGGGATCCTGCGACGTCGTCGTCGTCCTCTCAGACTCATAGTCCGAAGGCGGCGCGTACGTCTCGTCGACAGCACGGCGGCCGCGCCAGTCCGTCACGCGCTCGTGATCCCCGCGAGGCTTGCGGATCGGCAGGCCCGTCTCGGGGCCGAAGATGGATTCGTCGTGCGGGTCGTACGCTGTCATGCCGTGCGCGACCGTGGGGGATGAGCGTCTGCTGCTCGCCCTCCGCGGCGTCATGGCCCTGCGCGGGGTGCCGTGTTTCGCTGGCGTCGGGTAGCTGTGCGAGACGTGCGTTGCGGTGAACCGCTCGACGGCGGGGTGGCGGAGGGGTGTATCGGGCGTGTCTCCCCCTTCGCGCTGAACCAGCGTCGCTTCGTCGTCGGCTGGTGGCTGCTGTCGTTGTGTCTTTCTCCGCTCTGCTTCCACGCCTCCCATCGTCGGCTGGCGCACCATGTGTCGCGGCAGCGGCAGGTGCTCGTCGCCCTCGATCAGAGACCCGAGCCACGCCGCGCGGAACGAGAGGCCCAACGCTAGCGACACCTCCCTCGCGACGCTGTTGCCGACCGTCTTCCACTGCTCGGCCGGCGTGCCCAGAATGACCTCGTGGTCGCGGAACCCCTGCGCGCGCCGCGCCTCCATGACGGTCAGGATGCGGTTCTGCGCCCAGTGCAGCACGGCGCGGCCGTACCCGTCGCTGGGGCTCGGCTTCGTGGTGATGGTGCCCATGAGCCTGTCCGGGCGGAGACGGCCGAACGCCTTGGACGACGGTCCCTGGCGTTGCGCTTGCGGATACAGGCTCAGCTCCGCCGCCGTCATGGGCCCGTCGCCCTTGTTGTGTGCCGTGCCGAGGTTGAGGCCCCACGGCCGGGTGGGGATGCAGCCGAGCTGCGGACGGAGGAGCTGCGTGACGCCGATGCTCTGCCGGTGGTCCGGGAACGGGATGCAGCAGTCTGCCTTGGCGTCGGCAATGTCCGGCAGGTCGGCGAGCGCCTGCCTCGCCGTGACGGAGGCAAAGGCCGTCGGCGTGAAGGTCTTGCGGAGCATCGGCTCGCCGTTGGACAGCAGTCCCAGGGACCGTGAGCGCATGGCCAGGGGCCGATGCGACTGCATGGGCACCTCGGGCAGGCGCAGGCCCGGCGCGGCAAAGGCGAGGAAAATGCGGCTGCGGCTCTGCGGAGAGCCAAAGGTCCAGGCGTCGAGCAGGAAGAAGTGCGTCTGGTAGCCCATGCCGACAATGGCGCATATGAGCTGGCAGAAGACATCCTCCTCTCGCGTCTTGCGCCCCTGGATGATCTCGACGACGTTCTCGAGGAGCCCGTACTTCGGCCGGTACATGTCGATGAAGGAGGCGAATGCCGCGACAAGTGACTGGTTCTTCCGCTGGTTCGGCGTCGTCTTGTCCACCGTCAAGCGACTGAAGCCGGGGCAGGGGCTTCCTCCTGATACGAAGTCGACTTCGCCGACGGCCGGCACGTTGCTCGCGAAACGCCCTTCGAGTGCAAGTCTCGCCAGATCGTCGATGGAGCCTGCGAATGGGCTCACGCGGCTGGGATCGTCGAGGTTCGCCATGTAAGTATGGATTGCCCGCATGTTAATGTCGTTGGCCCACCGCATCTCCACGGCGCCTGACTCCTCGAGTCCTCTCCCAAAGTTACCACCACCACAGAACAGGTCGAATCCCTGCAGCTTGGTGAAACCTTCCGAGGGGTCCATGCCTTGCCTGAACGTCTTGGGAAACGGTCGCTCATGGCTGAAGGGCTCGCACGTCTTCGTCCCCAACGTATCTTGCAAGTAGGTGGATATATAAAAGGCGTTGCCCACGCCGTCGCGATCGTATGGCGTCTGCACCGTCTCACCAGGGCTGTAATAACGTACGAGGCAGCGACCGTAGACTGCTGCCAGCAGGACGCTGTAAATTTCGTCCGAGTAGACAAGCTCGTTTGGGCGTGCTTGGCTGTATGGGTCGACCTCTATTCTTCGCAATAGTCTTCGAAGCTCCATTTTCACGCCTGGCTTTGTCGGTGCCGTGACAAGCTCACACGGCTCAAGTCGCTTGCCGGACGGGTCGAGTAGAGCGAGCACTGTCTCTCCCACACGATAGTTGTCAGGGTCGACGACCCGTGGTGCACGATGAGAGCACATCTTATGCTCCTCCTTTAATGTGATCCACCGATGCTCCTCATGCAGATATGTCTGTCTGCAAAAAAAGTCGGCCGAGGTCGGCGAGCCACCCCATTGTATCGCATGAATCTCTAGAACCTCTCCCTCCTCGATCTTGTCGTGCTTATCGTAACAAGAGCAATGATCAGAGAGGAAGAGCTCGTTGTCCCAGGGGTACTTCATCTGCCCACAGATGGTGTCCACGGGGCGATATATCCAAATTACGTCGAATGAGCGTTTGCCAGCTTTGCTGATGTGTATTCTCTGCACAAGGCCAAGCCAGCGATCGACGTCGTCAAACCCCGCGGCCACCTCTCGCTTCCATTTTGAATCCAGGCCTTCGTCGCGGGGCGTAGAGATGACATCGCCCACACGTACTGGACGTTGCAGTCCTTTGGCTCGAGCAACCCGTGTCGTGTCGAGGTGCCTGGCCGACTTGTCAACGTGACTACCTGGCTGGAGATGTTGCTGCTCGATGAGTGCATTTCGAAGCTTTTCTGTCCGCTGGCTGAGATTGACCTCTTCGAGCAGATGACCAAAGGGCATGTGAGCAAAGCAATCGTAAATGTAGGGGGTTACGACGGTTGGTGGAGGTGTGCTGCTCCTTTTGCCGTTTTGAGCTCTCAGGTTGCTTCCTAGTAAAGACGATGCACTATCGAACCCACGAGGCCCAGACGGCTCGGCCTCGGGGGACTGACCGGCCGAAACACGGCCAGACGCGTCGTTGAGTACCAAGCCATACGGCTTATAAGCCGTGTAGCTCTTAATCTCCTTCCAGAACGTGTGAAAAAACACCTGCTGGGAGGTGAGGACGCCGTGCGCCTCTTTGTAGATAAAGTCACTGTAGGCGTTGACGGCCACCCGAAAGTCCGTTCTCCCATATTGGTCCAACCATCGGTTGAACACGGCGTCGCGGCCATGGGCCTGAATGAGCCACCTGTGAAAGTGGGACTTGAAATGTCGAAATTCTACGCGACGCTTCTTGTCGCCAGCGGCAGCCATGTAATCGACAACGTGCTTGGCCAGGTCGGCGACCCACAAGAACCCATGATGATAGCGCGCGTACTCCTTGGCCGGCGTCGTGAGTTTGTAGTACAAGTTCTGCTTGCCCATCCTTTGGTTGAGCGTGGAGCTGATCCAGATCTGGTCGCCCACAGTCGGCTCGGCCATGCCGTAGTTGCCCAGAGGCAGTTCCTCAAAGGCGATGCCGCGCACGAAAAACTTGGCATCTCCATGAGAAAGTATCCCGTCAGCGTAGAGAGTGCTGTGAGCGCCCTTGGTGCACAGTGTCTGAAGCGGGCGCATCTCGTACGGGTATTGTCGTCGATGAGGAGGCTTGTCGCGATCAGACGCCGAGTGCCTGTAGACAACGAATTGGCCGAGTTCAATTTCGAAGAATTCATCTTTGGGCAGTGAGACGGGGTTCTTCAGCAGTGCTTCGACGGCACATTTTTCCTTCCTCTCGGGTGCGGGCGCGCAGAAGCCAGAGAAACTGGAGACGGGGTGGACGAGGGTGCTCTCGGGTATTGCGACTGTAAAGCCACGAGATTTGGCCAATGTATCCACAGAGGGAGAGAGCAGCCGTCCGAGGGTCTTTCCTCGTTCATCCTGTACGAGGCCTATTTCGTCATTTTCCCAGGGCAGGGGGTCGCCGGGCTGAAGCGTCGCGGCATCGTCGTCCTCGTCGTGGGGAGCTGAAGAACGTCTGCCGTCAGGAAGCCACTCGTCGTCAACTTCAGGCCAGTATCCATCATCTATAATGCCTTCTGTGTCCCCAGAATAGGCGTCCTCGGAGTTGGGAATGCCATTGACTTCTCGGGAATGCGTTGAGGAAGAGTCGTCGGCAGAAGTGTCAACGTCATCTGAGAAATGTCAGTCGAAGACTCAGAGAGCCCAGGGATAGCAAGAGCAGACCATATATGAAGTACGGCATCGTTCATTAAGATGAGTGAGCCATGAGGAAAGCGATTGTGACTGTCAGATTGCGGATAGAAAGAGGGCACGCTGAGAGGCGCTTCGAAGGCGTTGAGGCCACTTTAGGCGTTCGCACGCAGGGCAGGCGACACAAAATCGGCTAGGATTCAGGGAGGTCTGTACTGAATCCTCAGGACGACAGATTTGAGAAGAAAGAGATCATGGCGGCAGGAACAAGAGGTTCGAAACAAAGGCCGAGGAAACAAAAGATGCCAGGCCAGAATGCCAACAAAGACGCCTAAGCTGCTCGGGGATGCCAAGTCCAGATCTTGGGCAGGAGGTGGCCCAAGCAAGATAGATTGTCACCTTCTCGAAGAAACCTAGTCGATACCGTTCAAAAGTTCGTGAGCGCCTATTTTAGCAGTGAATATGTGCAGCTGAGATGGTGAAGTATGCACGAGATGTCCTTGGAGGTAGGTCGAAAGCAATGGCGCCGCCTAGACTCTCAAGCCCTGGTTTATCTATAAAAACTCTGAAGATGATCAAGAGAATGAATCAGTGTCACAATCCAGAAGGCAGCGCACTCGTAGACGTGACTGGAGTTTTTTTGGGGCAGGGTGGCAGGTGATGGTCCTTGGTGTTTATGTGTTTCTTGGCGATGCGAACGAAACAAACCCCCCCTACGCTTAAAGCTTAAAGGGGGATGACTAACTATGTCCATCCTCCACATATACTGCCGAGCATCGATGAATGCTCTTGGCATGTAAATTCGCAATACTCCCAGAAAGAAACAGAGTTGGGTATCTAACGGCCTTCAGAGCGGTCTACTAATCATGACACGAGGCCGCGATCTATGCGGCCTCATTCTCCTCGTCTTGCAAGTACTCCATGACGATCCGCCTCACCTCAAAGACGACCTCGACAGCGATCAGTATGATGATGATCCACTCGAGGCGCGTGCTGTGCTGCTCGCTCGACATCTCGCGCAGCACCGTCGAGATCTCCTGGGCATAATCCATCTTCTGGTTCAGGGTCCTGATGCGCACATTGACGTCGAGCGCCCGGCCGACCTGCTCGTAGTACCCCTCGAGGCCCAGCTCGGCGCGGCTGTCCCAGAAGATGTCGGGCAGCGAATCCGTCAGCTCCGAGTAGTGGTTGAGCCGCGCCCGCAGGCTCAGCAGCTCGCCCGTCTTCTGCAGGATGAAGCGGCGGCCCATGGGCACGCCGGCGCCGCGCGACAGCGACGCGGGGATGTCGCGCGTGGTCTCAAAGTAGGCCGTCAGCGCGCTCTCGAGCACGGCGAGCTTGGTGCTGCGCGCGAGGCCCGACGAGAAGGCAATCTTGGCCATGGTCGTGTCGAGCGCGTTGCCCTCGCGCGCCTCGAGCCGCGTGCCCAGCACCACGACGTCGCCCTTCATGCCGCTGCCCTCGCGGCCCGCGTCCGTCGTGTACTCGAGGTCCTCGACCTCGCGCTGCGCCGCCGCCAGCGGCACCTCGGCCGCCGGCATCAGCTGCTTCGTCACGACGTCCGGCGGCAGCGACCACGTCACGATGGTCCCGGACGGGAACACGAAAATGTCGCCGCCGTTGACCCCGCGCGCATGCACCACCTCGGACGCCTCGAACCCGGCGCTGTCGGGGTCAATGGCGAAGCCGTGGGCGCGCAGAATGTCGAGGACGCTCGTCATGTTGAACGCTTCGGCGACGCAGACGGCCGACGCCACCATGGCCGCTTCTGTCGTGTCAGGCGTCTCGAGGACCGGGTCATCGGCGGGCCGCTGCGATAGTCGCTGGGCTATGATGGCGACGCGGCGTAGCGAGTTCTTTGCGCCGGCAGCTCGGTGCACAGGCTTGCGTTTCGAGGCCGCCACTGGCTCGACTGGGCGGGGCTCCTCGTTGCTTCTCCCGCGCTGGGCTGAGGCGTCGCCGTTCGAGGAGAGGAGTACGTTCGAGGTGAAGAAATCGCGTTTTCGGGGCAGACCAGCTGCGCTTGTGAGGTGGAAGGCTCGTCGTGGCCGCGGGGCGAGCCTGGTGGTAGACAGGCCGCGGCACAGAGCGGGAGGAACCTTTTGCTGACAGGACCACATGATTGCGATTCTGCGGCCAGAAATCAACGGCCAAGGGCAGACTGTACGGGAGCATCGAGCTTCGAGCTTCGAGCTTCGAGCTTCGAGTTCAAGAGTCTCGGTGCAGGGACCTTCACCGGGGTCCACCTCGGTGAATAAATGAACTGGCCAATGATGTGCACTGGATTTACGTATCTTATCGCCTTGGACAGAGAAGCTCCGCCAGCGCAACCTCGCATTTTCAAGCTGATTGTCACTGCTCTCGTCCACCAGTTGCGCTCTGCTTGACCACCAGCAAGATTTCCCAACCCATGTCAGAGTGAGCTTCGCTATTCACAATGGAGACATGTGGCGCGCGCCCTTCTCCAGATCACAGCTCCCCGCCCTAGCGAGGCGGGCGAGGGGCAAGCCTGAGGTGAGTGTTCGTAACAGGCATCCTCCAGGGGTTCCGCCGACTGACAGCCGGCCATGACAGCTCTCGACGACTTCACGATCCTCAATACACATCGAAAGCAGCAGGGCCACTGAAGAACCGTGCCAGAGGTTCGATGGCCTGACTCGAGATCCGCACAATGCCTCTCGAACAAGGCACCAGACCACTCCCGACTCCTTCACCAAGCCAGAGCAGCCATTAGACGCTGCACGCGAGAAACCCAACAATCAATCCATACGAAATCCTCAACTCAAAATCGTTCGAAGAGACGCTGTGCAGACAGCACGACCGATAACAAAGCTCGATCGGAAGAAAAAGCCTACCTACACACCGGCGCGCCTCCTTGATACCGCATGCCGCCTCTACCGTGGCGAGACGGAGCTCTCGGCCTGCGACATTGAAGCAGCGAGCTTCCTCGCCAGCTACAGCAGCGCTCGTTTGCCCATTCTCACAGCTCAGTGGATGCTCCACTGCAATTCTGACCTCGAAGCCAGCGTGCGCTCCCTGCTGCCCGACGTCTCTGCGTGGTCCACAAGGTTCGAACCGTACACGTCCAAGGGGTACCAGCGAGATGACGTTCTCCATTGGGTTTGGATTCTTACGGCGAACGATCCTGACGAGCGTGTACGACGCTTCCTCTCCGACACCCGACACAAACCATCCTTCATCCTCAATCACCTCCTAAATGATGCATATTCCGGTCGTGCTGAGCTCCTGCGTCCGCACTCTATATACGGCATCATCAACTACTGCACTTCACTATACGAGCAATTTTCCCGATCAAGCCCTCAAGGAGAAACTCTGGCGCCAGACTCTCGGCCTCTGGACAGCCCAGACGTCGTTCAGGGCATCATCGGCCGGCTGCTGTCCCATGCTCGACGTACTCAGGCGCAGGCTGTCATTCCAATTGCGAACCTTGCTGCCACATATCTCGAAGCCCTTACGGGACCAACAGAACGACGATTATTTGAACTTCGGTGTCGCACGTTCAACTTCATGCTACAAGAGCTGTCAATCCCGCCGGCAAAGAAGCCATACGCCACTGCCCATCACAGCTGGGAAGCCATTCGTACATTACTGCAATTCTCATCAACATTAGAAAAGCCTCTCATTGTTGAACGTGAGAGCTACCGCGGTATTCGTCGGGTCCTGCTGGCACTGCAGAAATCCCCCGGCGAACGAGACACGACAACGACGCTGAAAAAGACCTGGCCACCCTACAGACTACCGAGGAACGGCCTCGAAGAGGCCATGGAAGCAGACGAGTACTACAGCAGGACGGTCAAGGCTGGTCTCATGATGCAGGACGCGGGCTACGCCAAGGAGGAATACGACATCGCCACGGATATTCTCGGGGGTCTAGGTCCCGATGGGTCGCCGACGATCCAGACGCGGGCAAATTACCCCGTCCGCAACGGCTCGGACCAGTCCATATGGGCCGCTCAGGTCCGAGCCACGAGAAGCGCGGAGGAAGCATGGCAGGCCTTCCAGCATCCGCCGCAGCCTGGGATGGCCCCCCAGACGGAAGTGTTCCACGAGATGATCCTCAAGGCGCTGGCGAACATTGTGGATCCTCACCATGATAACCTACCTGGCGATGGACGAGAGACCTTTTCGCATGATACCCTCAATTTCAGCGAGTTTGAGAGGGCACGCCTCGCGCCACCCAAGGTTTTGCAGCTCACGAGACATATGGAACAATCTGGTGTTCGTCTCGACGAGAGGTGTCTTAATGTGCTGTTGCTGCGCTCGGCGAGCCTTGACGAGGCAGTCGAGTATGTGCAGCGAAGCTCGTTGAGCAAGGCGCAGCAGGCTACAGTGGACTGCGCGTTACGAGGGACCGACGTGGCTTTCAACTCGGTGGCCGATCAAATCAAGGAGATCTCTCAGGGCACCCTGCTCGCCGTCATTCGATTGCTCTGCAGAACCCGTCCAGGCTACGGAATGCCAAGCCATACAATAGAAAGGGCCATGCGGATCGCCAGGCTCGGCTGGACGGCTGGCGGTTGCTCCAACCCGGCTCCCTGGGAGTTCATCCTCGAAACCCTGGCCCGATCTCACGTCCTGGCCTGTGCTCGTGATCCGCAGCACAACAACCAAAGCGACTTGCTCCTGGCTGGCCACGACATGATGGAGGCCGAGGCATAATGCGGCCTCACACTACACATTTTTTTTATCTTTCGCGCGGGTCCGCAGAAAGTACTGCACACCAGACTCGACGGGCTCCTCGACAGCCTGACAGGAGGCACGACCCACGGCGACGACGCTGCGCTCCTATCATTCTTCGTCACAGGCCCGCCGCAAGGCACGACGAGGCGCCCGCACTTTCACCACTGGAACCGCGCCGACCCGAACCTAGCCACGACGGCCGACCTCGCGGCCGCGGCCCTCCGCAGACTCCGCTCCGCCTGGGCCGACCTCGCCAGCGCGACGACGAAAGGCGCCGCGTCCTCCTCCAGCGCCGAGCTCGGCGACACGGTCGTCCTGGCCGGCGCCTCCGAGGTGAACACGCAGATGCTCGCCCTCGCGTCCCTCGGCGACGTCAACGCCATGGCCGCCCTCGCCGCCTGGACCGTCCGCCACGCCGACGGCATCCTAGCCGCCACGCACGCCAAGCGCACAACCTGGCTCACAGGCGTCTTGCACACCTTCCGCGCCTTCGCCGAGCCCCTCCTCGACGACGACGTCGTCGCGCCGCTGCGCCGCGCCGTCGTCGACGCTCGCCAGCGGAACCGCGACCGCTGGCTCTACTGGCCGAGCGACGACGAGGTCGCGACCTTTACGCAGAGCGACGTCTCCGGACGCCTGGGCCGGCTGCAGGATTTCGTGCGGCTCGTCGCGAGGGAGCGCGAGGACGGCGGCGGCGGCGATGGCGGCGTGCTGCTGGAGTATCGCGGGGAGCTGCGGCCTGGGGCCGACGCGGTGGCGCAGGCGGAGGAGCGCGCGAGCCGGCGCTATGTCTGTCGGGACAAAGTCGAGTGGCGACAGACCGAGGGCGAAAAGTCGCGCTATCGAGTCGTGCAGGGCATGAGGGTCTGAGTGCTAGCACCATGTAGCATTAGATGTAAAGAGGAATGTACTAAATAAGTAGAGCATCTTGACCGGAATCAACAGTCACCATCAATCTATCCCTCTGCCACAAGACAATGAGAATACGAGACAATGAAGACATCCAGAGTTACACAGCAATACTGATATTAAAACAAAACCACCCACTGCAGAAGGCAGTAGGCAGCAAGCAGCAAGCAGCCAGGCCGGAGGGGATAGGGGGGGCGTAGCGGCTCTCGAAAAAAGCAAACAACTTCTATACACCGCGGGGGACACCAAAAGTCCCCTCGCCAAATCCGTCCGTCTTTGTCTCCCCATTCCCTTCATCCGTTCGATGGTTTATGATGTCTGTCGCCCTCGCCCTCGTTTTCCGCCTCTCCCCCCCCCCCCCGTTTTCCCCTCCCACATTCGTCTCAGCCCTCGATAACCTTCGCTTCCCTGCCTCGCCCGAAACGCCGAAGAAATTTTGCTACTGCTGAGCCGCGAATTCATTCTCCTTCCGATTGACTGAGAACTTTTCTCCTTCTTGTTGTTGCAAAAGTTGCAAACCTCCTGGTACGAACGGATACGCATCTCCCACTTTCGTCCGTCCCGCTTCTGTTTCTCTCTTCCATCGTCACAAGCAAACCGGGCTTACCGTACACCAGACCCCTCTTCTCGATGCCGAGAATCTACGTCGACTGACCCTACTGACCCTACTGCTGCTGTTGCTGTTGCTGCTGTTGTTGCTGCTGCTGTTGTTGCTGCTGCTGCGCGCCAGGAATGACAGGCACCGGCACAGGCGTGACCCTCGCAGGAATAGTCGGCGTCCCGTTCTGACCCTGTCTCGGCGCGGGGCTCTGCGGCTTGTTGGCCACATTGTTGACGAGACGGGCCTGCTGCGCGGCGAGCTGAGCGGGGTTGTAGCTCGTTTGGTTTGCCATGCCGCCCTGCTGCATCTTGTCGCCAAAGACGTTGCTGTTCTGCTGGGCGGCGGCCCTGGCGCGTGCCTGTTCGAGCAATCGCTGCTGGTTCTGGTCGGTGACGCTGTTCATGTAGGGGGCGGGACGTCCTTGAACATGCGCATTTGGTCCAGGGGAGTGCGTGCCGTTGGGGTACTGTGGACGATTGGCGGGCGAGCCATAGGGTGCTCGTGGCTGCTGGTGCTGCATGTGCGGCATGTGTTGAGGGTGGGGTTGATGGTGCTGCTGTTGCGAGAGCGGTGGTGACGGGCTGTACTGGCCCGCGGCAACTTGTGGGGACATGGTACGTTTCTGCATGTTCACAGCGCCATTGGTGTAGCCGCCTTGGTTGGGCTGGTACGTCTGGCCATAGCCTGGCTGGAAGCGAGCCGTGGGCGATGCCTGGGGCCCGGTATTGTTGTACGCGTACTGTTGCGGGCGAGGCTGAGTCGCGTACTGAGGCACGTTCTGGTGACCAAACGGGGTCTGCGTCTTGGCCAGTTGCGCCGCGTACTGGTTCGGGTAGGTATTCTGGGGCCGGAACTGCTGCCCCTGCTGGGGCGGCTGCTGAGGAGGCGGCTGCTGCCGGTATTGCGGATGCGGCATAGTGTGGGGAGCGGCGGGCCGTCCCAGATGCGGCTGCTGCTGGATCGGGGTTTGCGTGTTGCCGCGGTAGTACTGTGGAGGGCCCCCCTGCCGTGTTGGCGTGCCGTACGGCTGGTTGTTCCCATAGTTGTACGACGGAGCGCTGGGCGTACGATGAGCTCCGGACGGCCGAGCCGCGCCGGTGGCAGCAGAGGCAGCACTGTGTTGCTGGCGTGCTCTGGCCTGAGCAGCGCCTTCATCTTCCATGACGCCCTTGTACTGGTCTGTGCGGACTTCCACGTTAGTGCTCACAAGAAGATCATTGAGTTGATCGCCGTTGAGCTTGGCGACGGCAAATGGCGGCAGCATCTTGACGATGAGACCCAACTGCGCCTTGAGCGCCTCGTACGTCGCAATCTCGTCTTCCGAGGGATTGGCTCCAGTGCCGCTCGCAAGCATGTCGCCACCACTGGGATCCCCGGCATACTTGTTGTGCGAAGATGGCAGCGACGTGTTGCGAATCCGCTGATAGGACGCAAGCGTGAAGATGAGATCGTCCACTTCTTTGAGGAGCTCGTCCGTATCCTTTTCCTCGTCGGTTTTCTGGGGGCCCCAGATCTCAAGAGCCGGGTCAATCTTGTCGTCCCAGTTATCGATCGCCTCTTGGATGAGCTCCTCGTCAATATCCATAATCTGCGGCGTCGCGTCCGGCTTCTGGCCTCCCAGATCATCCTCGTTCTCCTCAAGTGCTGCGTCGACCATGCGGTTAAAAGTTCGCTGGCCTGTTTGCTGCCAGTACATGCGGCCGGCCAGGCTGGCGGGCACCAAGGCAGCCGAGTCATCCTTGCAGGGAGCAAAGCTGGAAAAGGCAGCCCTGAACATGCTCTCCATCTCAGACACTTCCAACTCGGACGAGGACGGCTTGTGTCCTGCTAGGCTCTGGGCCCTCTGTCTCTGCTTGATCTCCTTGCTCTGCGAAGTAGAGGAGGCGGCGTTGCTGTAATCGAGGAAGTGGCCGACCGTGACCTTCTGGGTGAAGTAGGTATTCGTCCGATACTTGGACGGTGCGGGGATTTCTGGGTGGCAGAAGGTCAAGACGTTGCCCTTGGCCTGCGGTTTCGGCTGTTTCGGCGGCTGGAGGGGGGGCAGCGGCCGCGGCGACGAGAACAGCTCTCCCAGAGTGTAGGTGCGCTCGGTCTGGCGGCTCGGCAGTAGACGTGTGGAGGAGACGTGGACAGGAAGAACTGAGCGGGACAGGGTCTCGCTGATATTGGTAGCCTGCTGGCCATGCGCAGGCAGAGCCTGACTTGAAAAGAGCTGCCGGCCGCTTCCTGAGAGAGTCAGGACCACGCGGCCGGCGGTGGCCGCGTCGGGTTGCATCTTCTGTTGGGGATCGGATGCACCACGGGGATAGTTCTTCTCTCGGCGGAAAAGCTCGAGAGCCTTCTTCTTGAACCGCACGAGCCCATCAACGAAGGTGCGGTTCTCCTCTGCATCGGCACCGTTCCGTGAGGACTCGAGCTCGGCTAGCTGGTCGGCAGCCGCCGCGAGAAGATCATCAGCAAGGTCATCGAGGAGTGTGTACTGTTCTTGGGCAACCTTGTCGGCGATTGTCACGACAGCAGCGCCGTTGGAAGACTTTTGTCGTTTCGCATCGGGCTCGTTGTCGGTCTCGGTGACGCGCAGTGGTCGCTGCAGAATGGAAGGCGTGGTGTCAAAACTACAAAAAAGGAAGGAGCGTCCAGTCAGTACGGATACGGCCGAAGAGGCAGGAACCAGCTGAGGGTTGCCGTTGGCGATGGACGGTACCTTGTGAGGACTCTGAAGTAGTCACGAATGACGGATTGCGAGTCCTTGAATTCTTTTGGTGGTTGTGCTTCATCCATGTCCATGTCGGTATCAGCATCAGCGTCGTCGTCGTCGTCCTTGGTGTGCTCGTCGTTCTCGCGTTTTCTCTTGACGGGGACGTTGGAGTGACTGGACTCGGGGGTGCTGATGTGGTCAGGAGCTGGTGTCAGGGCAGGCGACGACGAGGCAGCGGCGGTGCCGTTGGTAGGGAGGGATGGCGTGGGCTGCGCCATTTTGACGGGGGAAAAGCGATGACCAGATAGGCGGCGACGCGCCTTGGGATCAATGGGCGTGTCGTGTAGCGGTTGCGGTTGCCGCGGGCGATGACGGTCGTGGTGGCGGGTCCCGTTGTGATGGCGGACGGGGGTGGTTCGCGATGGCGGGCGTCGATGGTGGTTTGGTGCGCCTGGACTTTGTCGCGACGGGGACGCGCGCGCTGGCAATTGCGCTGCGCTCTGGTTAATTCACCGAGCGGCCGCCAGTGCGTCGTCGTAAGGGTCGTTTGGTGGAACGCCAAAAGGTCTAGTGGTCAATCGTTACGGCAATAGGCCACCAAGGCTCGCCTTTGCGGTCGTAAAAGTCGCGTCTGATGAACCGCAATCGATGCAAGGAGGTGTAGGACCATCCAGAGGGCAAGTCGACCGATGGAATCCAACGAGAAGGCCGGCCTTGGTTGCAAATTGCGTCTAGACACGGGAATGGAGTACGAAGACTGACTGTCCAGGATCAGTTCCACACCAGGCAGGGACTTGTCTCTGTGTCGGTCCATTGATGGGCCCATGCAGACAAAAGCCTACAGCACGCTAGAGCACTTCACGCTAAGCCTATCCCGGCCGGGGCCAGTGGGACACCACGTGACCAAGGTGCATCGTCCTCAGCCTCAGTCTGCTGTGCACTTACACAAGCTATACAGGCACCTGATGCTTAATGACAATTGGCTTTCACATTTAATGATACGCGATGTATGTGTATGTGTGTGTGTGTGTGTGTGTGTGTGTGTGCCTGGTGGGCAGATGATGCATCTGCGTTCATGTCGGGAAGCACATTGGCAGCGATGAGCGCCATCAACTGCATGCCAGAGTGGTGCCCAATTCTAACTGAAGAACGCGTAAGCCATTTACACTCTGAGTTTGTGCTATTCACCACCTTGTTCTCTACTGAGGCGAAGGTCGCCTACACAATTACCACAGACTTTGCTTCGCATTCGATTCCTCGTGCGAACGCATTCATGTGCACTGCCGGGAATCTGGTTCAGAATCAAACCTCTTGCCACGAATGTCACGAATGGCACACACTAGCTACACGGGTCCGAAGATGCTGCATCAATGAAATATTACTAGACTACCTGTCCATGCCTACAAAAGAAAAGCGCTCATGTTCTCTGCGCGCCCTCCAATCGCATTTCTCTCCGACCACAGAAATACAAGAAAGCCTGTCGACCCCTCTCGTCCCTGATGATGCAGCAAGCTGCCGGAATGACGCTCAGATTCAATCAATTCGCATGTTCCTATGGCTACATGAAGACGGCTGTCCGTTTATTTCTTGGCCTTGGCCAGACCAACCGTGTTCTTGCCGAGGTCGTAGATGGAGTACCAGCGGCGCAGGAAGGCGTCGCCAAGAATGACGAGAGGGCCCACGGGCTCGGGGAAGTCCATACCCTGGAAGGTCGAGATGCAGCTGCCAGACACCTCGAGGATGTAGTCGTAGGCAGAGATGCTGAAGTTGTAACCAGCAAGGTTGAAGGTGATGTCGGGCAGGCTGGCGCGCTTGTCGCACTCGACCGACCACTGGCCGTTGTAACCCTTCTTGGCGCCAATCTCGTTGTTGAGCATGTCGGCCAGGGTCGAGGGGAGGACGTTCAGCGACGTGCCAGTGTCAAGAATGGCACCGTGGCCGTCTAGCTCGGCCGTGTTATCGCCGAGGCTGATCGAGTCAAGGTCGACCTCCCAGTACGCCTTGCGGCGGAGGGGGATCGTGGTGATCTTGCCCTCGTAGTGGGACTCGTCAACACCACCGAAGACGACCTCGCTCTCGTCACCCTGCTCGTTGGTGTCGCCGAGGTAGAAAGCGAAGACGGGCTCGTCAACGGCCTTCTGGTTCACCATCTGGTAGAAAGGAGGGACGATCTTGTTGACCGAGATGGTGTCGTAGCCGAGGCCGAGAATACCATCGAAGCGACCAAAGGCAAAGGCCAGGCCGGGCTCGCTAGTGGCCTCGGCGAAGTCCTGGTTCTTGATCTTGATGTCACCGATGGTCACAGTGTCCTGGGAGACGAATCCAGTCAGGCTGCCGGAGCCGTAGTGGATCTCAAACTCGGAGCCGTTGGCCTTGTAGGTAGACGAGTCAGACGAGTCGTACTTGGTGTGCAGGTAGCACGCAATGCTGCTGCATTGCTGGGAGGGAACCCAGAGGTTGGAGCTGCCGGTGTCAAGGACAACCTTGAACGTCTGAGGGGGGGTTCCGATGGTGATCTCGGAGAAGTCTGGCACCTGTCAGCGTGTTGGGTCGTCTAGGGGTTGGAGGCTGCGAAACGTACACTGAGCGTTCATGAAGTTGCTCACGGGCACATTGTGGTTGCCATCGGACTGAACCGGCTTGCTGTTGAACATGTAGTCGGCATGGCTCTGGGGGCGCACACCCATGTACTTCTGACCAAGCTGCTGGACCTGAGTCTCGATGGGGACGGAGGTCTGGAAGAAAAGGCCCGGGTTAGTCTCGCGCATAGTCGCATCATGGTGCCGGTTGGGAATGACATACCAGCTGCTCCTCAATGGGGACCTTCTTGAGCTTGAGCTTGTGGATCTCGGCGGATGCGGATCCGAGCAGCGCAGCTGCGATAAGAGTGCTCTTCATGTTGGGCAATCTCGCTATGGGCGCGAGAGTCCTACGGGGTGATGGGATGTGGGATGTGAGAATGGTCGGAAGAGGTGGTGGTTGATGAAGATGGGGAGTCGAGAGGAGGAGAGGAGAGAGAGAGCCGGGTAGACAATGACACAAGAAGCAGGATACAAGAGGGACAAGCGGGTGGAGAGGGAGCTCAGGTGCTGGGACGGGGGAGGTGGCGCTTGCTTGCGTGCGTGCGTGTTGTGCCTGGGCCTGGGCCGGGTGCAGCTCAAACAGCTGTGACCGGGGTAACGCTCGCACTGGCTAGAGACCGTTCGTAGCTCGTTTGCACTGTGTCATCGTGACCAATCAGTCCCATTTCGTGACTCGATTGCTGAGGCTTGTGAGCATCATCCTATTGGAGTTCAAATCGTAATTTAGCATCTATTCTTACGCAAAGTGGTTTAATAGCCAAAGAGAGATATGCCAGCGTGTTCTCATATGGTTTGCTTTTCTTCGGCATTTGGTAATCCGGCTGGCTCCCATCAGAGAAGCAGGGAATCGATTAGCAGAAAGCAGTACCTTATAGTGTGGGTGTTGTTCAATGGGCACGGTGACACTGTGGCAATACGTATCGGCTGGCAGTGGGGCTGGCCCGGTGCGTGCCTGGCGACGGTGACGTTCTTGAGTGGCTGCAGCACAGCAATGACGCAGGTCCGGTTCGGAGTCTCATCAGTGTCGCTCACGAGGTGTCCCGGTGGCGGTGCTAATTTGCTGGGGAAGGCGACGGGGGGGCCTGGGGCCTGGGGCCTGGGGGGCTTGGGGGGGTAACAGCGTTGCCGCCAAGAGGAGCGCGTGACGCCGTGAAACAACTCCTCTGGTCATTGGCATCAAGGTAGAGATGGGTTTGCAAATGGAAATCCATCAAGATGCTTTTGGGAATTGTGAGCTTAATCAGCACAGCTTCGTTGAGGTTAGCGCACCAGCGGCTCGCTGACTGGGCTGTTGGCGTGAGCAAGTTGTTTTCTGTTCGGGACGACCGGCGTGTATAATTCCTGGCCAAGTCTTTAAGCCTGGACAACCAGTACCACGCATCAAGACGCTACTTTGTCTAACATCCAGAGTGCTTTCACCAAAGAAACTGAATTCAACGAGAAGGGGTGGCAAAACACAACAGGCCGGTGTGGCTGGTGTGACACTAGGTCGAAGAGTCCATCTCGTCGAGCAGTGTCGATGTGTTGTAGCTGATTGGTCGATGGATGGTGACTGGAGAATCAAACTGGAGCTGAGAGTGCATGGGTTTCTGATCTCTGCCGATTGCCCATGTCCTTTCCGAGCAATCGTGGAAGATTGACGCTTGTCTGTAGGCCAATACGAACGTACTGTGTGATATTTAAGGAGTGGGACCTGATGCACAGTAATGGCAGTTCGATGTGCATAATCAGTCAGTCACCAAGTCATGGCAACGTTCCTGCGTACCTACCTACCTAAGGTTAAGTAGGTAGGTAGGCCGTCGTTGTGTTTCACCTAGTTGGAAGGGTATATGAGAAGAGGACAATGCTTCGCGACTGCGACATGTAGGCTGGTAATGAAGGTTTCGGCATGATGAGGAGAGACAACCGTCGCCCCATGGCCCTGCTCTTATCTGACTTGGTAGGTGGAGAAATGGGAATCAACAGGAATTTTCCGAGAAAGCTAGCAGAAATCGCATAAGAAATAGGGGTTCAAAGTTGGTTGTTGTATTGGTTAGAGTAGTAGAAGTCGAAAATGGATATCTGGTGAACCTTTAATATTGCATGCCCTCGCCAGACGAATACCCCTACTACATTGCATTTCCAGTCCTATACTCCTAAGTAACCATCTTCTACCAGGCCGCCTACGGCCTTAACCTATATAATACCCCTATTTTCTTTATATATATAGTACTCTATTTATATCTATTTAATTACTTAAGGGGTAAAAGCTTTAGTTCTCTAGATATATAGTCCTCCGAATATATCCTAAGTAAGAAGAAAGAAAGAGATACTAATACTAGTAACTATTATTAGGCGTCTAATCCTATTAATTAAACTATAACCTTTATAGACCCTTAAAGGAACTAGGTCGATAATAGAGGATAATAGCTATAATTATAATATAAGAATAGCTTAAATAAAAAGAGAAAGTATAGATATAGGATTAGTTATAGAGAGAAGACCGGTCGTGATAATAGGTTATATAGTAGTCTCTAGTAGTTAAGATAAGAGCCGATAATAGGCTATCTACTAGAGAACCGCTAAATTAAGAAATCAATCGCTATAGAAGACGTTCTAGTAGTAATAAGGGATTAATCGTAATAATAAGCTAAGTTATCGAAAAAAAAGGAAAAATAGCCGTATTATAGAATTAGATATCGTATTATAAGTACTAAGTTATTATAATGAAGAATTAATAGTAATAAAGAATCGGTTATAATAGTAGACCGAATTATTATAGAAATAGTTATATAAGTAGAACTAGATAAGGCATTATAGGAGATAAGTTATAGTAACGAAAAATTAATTATAATAATAGACTAAGCTATTAGAAAAGTAGTTATATTATAGAGACGATTATAGAGTTATAGAGAATAAAATAATCGAGATAAGGAATTAGCTATAGTAATAGATTAAGCTAATATCGCTAGGTCTATTATAGAGGGTTAATAGGTTATAAGAATAGGGTTAGGCTTAAGCTTAAGCCTCTAAGCTACCCTCTAAGGATAGAATTATATATAATAGTAATAGTATATTAGGTCTAGGTACTAACTCTAGATCCTCTTAATCGTTATTACTATCCTATTAACGATATAGGTTAAGCTCTATAAGTAGTTATTTTAGTCGAGTAATCTATCTTATTATAGGGTTAGCTATAACTCTCTAAGCCTCGCTTTGGATTATATAGAATAAAACCCTATTACCCTCGTAAGCTAGTAAGGGATCCCCTATATATATAGTTAAATAATTACTATAGATACTATTAAGTAAGTAGTATAATCTAGACGTAGCTCTCTTAAAGTCCTATAGGTTTAGTCGTATAAGGATATTAGTAGTAATATATAGGGTTAGTATTATATATATAGGGATATCTAGTCTTATTAACGATAGGATAGGTATAAATACTTAAGAGTATAGTACCTCTATAATATTATCTAGCTATTCTATTATATTATCGAGTAAGAATTAATAAAGCTCTTTAATTATTAAGATTTCCTAATAATTATTACGCTAGACCTACGCTAAGATATCTAATATAGCTTATCTAGTTAGGGGAATAAGGTCGTTAGGACTAGCTAGGTTAATTAATTACTTAAACCTTAGAGGTAGACCTATAAAGTCTAAGCTAGTATAATAGGGAATAATTATAACTAGGTCGTATAGCTAAGTAAATTAATCTCCTAATAGGAAGTTAAGTATTTATAGTATTCTATTTAAGTATAACTCCTCCTCTAGAGCTTAAAATATACTTCTTATAAAGCTATAATATCGTCCCCTAAAATAGACTATACTATTTAAGTCGATATTAAGTCGATTAATAGGGATTTTTTAATTAAACGCTTCTAGTAATCCTCTATACGTTTTTATAAGAGCTACTTATACTAGAAGCTAGGTTATTAATCTTACTTACGTATTAATAACGTCTACTAAATCTCCTATTTAAAGGGAATCGATTAATAATTTATATAGGTTATTAGCTATAGGTCTATATATAGTAGAGGCTATTAAGGTAGAAGTAGTAAGTAAAGTATTAATAATATACTAATAAAGTCGTAATAGTTTAAGGATTTCTATATATAGGGCTAAGAAGACTATTATATATTAAATACTTATACCTTAAATATCTAATAGAGCGTTAAGCTAGATATCTAAGTTAAGATAGCGAAATTAAATACCGTCTAGCTATCCTAGATATATAATCTCTAAATATATAATCTCCTTTATTATAATATCCTACCCCCTTAAATAGTAAGGGAATCCTAGAGTTTATACTATTAATATTAGTCCTATATCCTAGACCTTATCTTTATCGGTAATAAAGGCTAGAGGAGCCTAGGTATTAGGGATATAGGAACTAGGTATTAAGGATAGTAGAATAAATATTTAATTATCCTCGTTTAAGTTTAGCTAACGATATAGCTCTAGGATACGTCCTTAATTAAATTATTCGGCTTCTACGTTTAATACCCTATAAATAAAGTAAAATCGATCTTCTATAACGTACTCCACAAGCGAGTGGAACACACAAGCGAGTGAAACACTCCGTCGCGATTCCCCAACCACCTATCTTTCATCACCTTTCTACCCACAATTAAACATGGAGACTCCTTGCAAAGAAGCTCAATTGATTCTTGCTACCGAAGCTATCAAAAAAGATCCCAAGCTAAGCATTCGGAGCGCTGCGAAGATCTACAGCGTGAGCCATGTGACGCTAGGCCGACGACTGAAGGGAACTATCTCTCGACGCGACAGCCCTCCGAATTCGAGGACATTGACTTCCTTAGAGGAGCAGACAATTATTGAGAGTATTCTGGACCTGGATTCGCGATCATTTCCTCCCCGGCTTCGTGACGTGGAAGATATGGCCAATAGGCTGCTCGCCGACCGAGGCGCGCCACACGTCGGAGTCAACTGGGCTTCAAACTTCGTCAAGCGACAACCACAGCTAAAGACGCGTTTCTTTCGCAGATACGACTATAAGAGGGCCCAATGTGAAGATCCAGACGCGATAAACGCGTGGTTTCGCCTTGTACGGAATGTGGTTGCGAAGTACGGCATTGCGGCCGCAGATATTTACAACTTCGATGAGACCGGCTTTATGATGGGCGTTATCTCAACAGGAATGGTCGTCACAAGCTCGGAAAGGCGCTCAAATACGAAGCTCATACAACCTGGAAATCGACAATGGGTCACAGTGATCCAGGGGGTTAATTCCCAAGGCTGGTGCGTCCCGCCGTTTATCGTGGTCGCAGGCAAATATCACCTCTCGAGCTGGTACGAAGAAACATCCCTACCAAAGGATTGGGTTATCGCCACGACTGAAAACGGATGGACTACCAATAGAACAGGACTGGAATGGATTCGGCACTTCGATAAGTACACCAGGCCTCGCACAACAGGCACACATCGACTCCTCATTCTAGATGGACATGAAAGT